GGTACACATTCGAGTTGCATTAAAGTTGAAGGAAGCGTAAGACCCTTTTCAGGTGGATAATGGCTGCTTTTCAAGGCAACAAAAATGGGGTAAAAATGGAGATCAATTGGATTTTGGGTGAAATGTGACAACCCATTCCTTTCTGAGGATCTGAATCTCAGACTTCACAGTGGAAACGTTTAAACGGGTCAGGAATCTGAGCTTTACGTCTGAACTTGTATTTTGATTTACTTTACCCAATCACAGTTTGATCATTTTGAGATTTTCCCACAGAATGATCCACTGGACATCACAACTGTTTTAGGTGTATATGCAAATAATATGTGAAGGTATTGTCTTGTTTCGCTCCGTGTCTCTTGCTGCTACAGGACGTTTGTTTTCTCTCCCACCCACAGCCAACGTTAAATTAAAGCTCTGATTTCCTCCTGAAAACTGCAAGTCTTTTTAATCTCCAGCATGAGTAGAAACAAAGATGGATGTGAGCGAGGCTGCTGGCACTAAGAATGTTAAAGGTCCAGTTTGTTCCAGTCAGGGAGTGAGACACAGGTGTGTGGTTACCATAGTGACCTCACACAGTCACTGGCAGTATTTCTTTTCATCCTGCTTCAGTTTAAACAACTTTTCCACTTTGTACATTAACTTGTAGGCACTTTTTATTTAGTTCAGACCAATAAAAAGTTAGGCAGGAATGTTGGTGACCTAACTTCAGGCTCTTCTAACAATGCTTATTATTAGTAGTATTTTCAGGTCTCTGTGCCTGATGAGGAGAAAAGTTTAAATCTTCTCTAAATTAAATGTTATGCGTGGAGACTCAAAAAAACCAAAAGTAGTATATCCAGCACGTTCACCACTCGGCGACCAACTGTTGTAATCTCAGTGATGATGCGTTTGTACAGGTCCTTCTCAAAAAATTAGCATATTGTGATAAAGGTAATTATTTTCCATAATGTAATGATAAAAATGAAACTTTCATATATTTCAGATTCATTGCACACCAATTGAAATATTTCAGGTCTTTAATTGTTTTAATACTGATGATTATGGCATACAGCTCATGAAAGCCCAAAATGCCTGTCCCAAAAAATGAGCACATTTCATCCCACCAATGAAAGACAAGTGTTTTTATTACAAAAAACACCACCTTCAAATAATCATGTTCAGTTATGCACTCAATACTTGGTCGGGAATCCTTTTGCATGAATGACTGCTTCAATGCGGTGTGGCATGGAGGCAATCAGCCTGTGGCACTGCTGAGGTGTTATGGAGGCCCAGGATGCTCCGATAGGGGCCTTAAGCTCATCCAGAGTGTTGGGTCTTGCGTCTCTCAACTTTCTCTTCACAATATCCCACAGGTTCTCTATGGGGTTCAGGTCAGGAGAGTTGGCAGGCCAATTGAGCACAGTCATACCACGGTCAGTAAACCATTTACCAGTGGTTTTGGCACTGTGAGCAGGTGCCAGGTCGTGCTGAAAAATGAAATCTTCATCTCCATAAAGCTTTTCAGCAGATGGAAGCATGAAGTACTCCAAAATCTCCTGATAGCTAGCTGCATTGACCTTGCCCTTGATAAAACACAGTGGACCAACACCAGCAGCTGACAAGGCACCCCCAGACCATCACTGACTGTGCTTCACATTGGACTTCTGGCATTTTGGCATTTCCTTCTCCCCAGTCTTCCTCCAGACTCTGGCACCTTGATTTCCGAATGACATGCAAAATTTGCTTTCATCCGAAAAAAGTACTTTGGACCACTGAGCAACAGTCCAGTGCTGCTTCTCTGTAGCCCAGATCAGGCGCTTCTGCCGCTGTTTCTGGATCAAAAGTGGCTTGACCTGGGGAATGCGGCACCTGTAGCCCATTTTCTGCACACGCCTGTGCACGGTGGCTCTAGATGTTTCTACTCCAGACTCAGTCCACTGCTTCCGCAGGTCCCCCAAGGTCTGGAATCGGCCCTTCTCCACAATCCTCCTCAGGGTCTGGTCACCTCTTCTCATTGTGCAGCGTTTTCTGCCACACTTTTCCCTTCCCACAGACTTCCCACTGAGGTGCCTTGATACAGCACTCTGGGAACAGCCTATTCGTTCAGCAATTTCTTTCTGTGTCTTACCCTCTTGCTTGAGGGTGTCAATGATGGCCTTCTGGACAGCAGTCTTACCCATGATTGCGGTGTTGAGTAATGAACAAGGCTGGGAGTTTTTAAAAGCCTCAGGAATCTTTTACAGGTGTTTAGAGTTACATCATTGATTCAGATGGTTAGGTTAATAGCTTGTTTAGAGAACCTTTGCATGATATGCTAATTTTTTGGGACAGGCATTTTGGGTTTTCATGAGCTGTATGCCATAATCATCAGTATTAAAACAATTAAAGACCTGAAATATTTCAGTTGGTGTGCAATGAATCTGAAATATATGAAAGTTTCATTTTTATCATTACATTATGGAAAATAATTACCTTTATCACAATATGCTAATTTTTTGAGAAGGACCTGTATAGGAAGTTTTATTAAATTATCTTAAGCAGATCAGACGTTAGGAGCGGGACGTGATGAAGATGTATGGAGACCATCCCATACACCCTTCTATGGATGGATGGTTTGAGTCATTTTAGGTGGCTCTCAGGTAACGGCCACCTGCTGACCAGATGTTACGGCCCTCTTGGAGATATGCATTGTTATAAAACTAACACTGTACTTCAGGAAAAGAACATCAAAGTCAAACATTAGTCCCACCTTTGGACGGGCGTATAAAAAAACAAAACTAGAACCATTCCTGTGTTTCTTGGTTTCGTCCCCATCAATTTTTCCTCTCACTCTTGTGCAAAGTGGATGCTTTTTCCTCCTCCTCTCCTGTCCTCCTCCTGCTTTTTTTTTTGCTCCGTCTTGTGTATCGGAGATCCTATTTTACACCTTCCGAAACCAAAACTACCGTCATGGATCTGGTCAGATGGACTTTCAACGCAATCGATAAAATCTTTTCAACAAAGCGACAGGTTCCTGGAGAGCCCTCATGCCCCGCTGAGAAGCACGCAGCAGGATACGTCATGGATCCGTGGGGAGTTTGGGAGCTGATGTGTCTTTCTATATTGTCTCAAAAGGACAACGAAGAGGTTTATATAATTGGAATCATGATAGCAGGGTTTCTGCTGTTTAGCATCGGCAGAGTCCTACATTATCGGCTATTAAAGAAGACGGCGACAGCAGTTTTGGCCATGGCAAAACTGCAGAGTCTGTAAAGGTTTGGTTCGTGCTTAGAGAACTCGTCTTAAGCGCAGAGGTGACAGGCCCTTCTCTGTAGCAGGCCCAAGACTTTGGAACGAGTTACCTCTTGCTTGTCAGACTGGCACCCTCCCTCTCGGTTTTCAAATCCCATTTAAAACCTCACTACTATTTGGTAGCTTTCAACACCAGAGGATCTGTGTTTTGAACCTGTACACTCCACACTGGTTTGTCGTCATATTTATTATCTGCATCGTTTTTATGTCTATATTTTTGATTTACTTCATTTTGTATATTGCTTGGCAGCAAGGTGGCGCAACTGGTAGAGCTGCTGCCTCTCAGCGAGCAGGTCCTTGGTTCAAACCCCGGTCCAGGGGCCTTCTGGGTAGAGTTTGCATGTTCTCTCCGTGCATGCGTGGGTTTTCTCTGGGTACTCGGGTTTCCTCCCACAGACCAAAAACATGCATGTTAGGCTGATTGGTAACTCTAAATTGTCCCTAGGTGTGAGTGAGAGAGTGAATGGTTGTTTGTCTCGTTTGTCTCTATGTGGCCCTGTGATGGACTTGCGACCTGTCCAAGGTGTACCCCGCCCCTCGCACAGTGATTGCTGGACATAGGCACCAGCGACCCCCATGACCCAAAATGGAATAAGCGGGTAAAGATAATGGATGGATGTATATTGCTTCATGTGTTGTCTGTTGTTCTGTCTGTACAGCACTTTGGTTGGCCTTGTAGCTGTTTTAAGTGCTCTATAAATAAAATGGTATGGTATGGTAGAGTACTCAAAATCAGCTGATTTATGAGCTAAACCATAAGATGGAAGTGATTTGTGAGAATTGCAGGCCACCTGTGGCTTCTGTGACTCTCCAGCATGTTGGGGACGACCATGGAGGGGGCTCATAAACACGGAAAAGTGGAATGCCCACAAATCTGGTCATTTTGGATCTTGAAAGTACCAGCAGGACTCTAGGCTGACAAGAATAAACAGTCTGCCTGAAAAAATCAACAACTGTGGCTTATCTGACTCCCCCAGTTGGCCTTGAAGCAGGCAGACTTATCAAAATTTTCCTGGGACATATGTAAACTAAGGAAAAATACTGTATGTCTATCGCACACTGTAAACTTGTATGTTTGTAATAAACAACATTTGTGAAAAAGTACAAACATTCACTATTCAAATCCCTCAGCGACGGGACCTCAGCGTACCACTTGGTGTTTTGAAGCTCCCCAAAAAGTCCAGATCAGTGTTCAGAACAGTCTACATTGAAATAAAAACAGCCTCATCCATGTTTTGTGGTCTCAACAGATCCAGTTCTCCTGCGGACCACAGCCCTCCATGTTGGGGCTGGCTGAGCAGCTAAACCTGCAGATTCTGGGTTCTTCTCCTTCAACACGTTTCAGACTGTGATCAAACATCTAAACCCTCCGGCTGTTTTTCTGCGTTATGAGCGATGCGCTGAAAGAAAGAAAGCTGTGGGGTCATTTTACAGGTTTTAATATTAGATTTGTTTAGCTCCACATGTTCAAGTCCTCATGCAGCATTAAAAAAAACATTCTAGCAAACAAAAGACAGCGGCTGGTTCTGAACCACCGAACCGAGCTGCGGTTGTGTAATGACCGTCGTGAAGCCGAGGCACTTTGAGGGACCCCCCCCACCGCCGCTGCCATCCCAAAAGGCACAAGCTTTATATCTGCAACAAGAGGCATCTTCATTTCCTTTAATTAAATATCTTTTTAATAAAGTAAAGCAAATAAGTATTTACAATTTCTCAATTAAACTGTAATCATCGGGTTGGATCATCAAGCGTCTTCTGCCAGCCGAGGAGAGAAAAATATAAATACAGGGAAAACTGCAGCTTTGTTTCAGAGGAGGGAAAAAACTATCCATCGAATATTTACAGAACTCTCTTGAAATGAATTTCCTCTCATGGAAGCAAACACCTTAGAGTCTGAACTGCTAAACTTTGTTTCTAAAAGTATTTTCTCAATAAAGTGGATGCTTTGTGTTTTATTCAAGTTTCAAGGTGAGTTTTTTTTAAACATCCAACAGGTTCAGGAGGAGGGAGCAGCCGTGAGCACTTCATGTTTCAGTCGTTTCTTGTCTGAAGCTCGGGAAACGGGTGGAACGGACACAGGAGGGAGGCAGAAAGGGCTCGGACCCCTTCTCAAGTCCACAAGCATTTCAGAATGCTCCTCTTTGTAGTTTTTTTATTTTATTATAAAACACTCGGCCAACACTGGGAAGCCGCAGCAGAAAGCGAATCGTCTACATGAGAGCGTCACGTAGAGGAAATGTACACGAGTTGCGACGGATCCCGTCCACATGATTAAAGTATGAAATCATAAAAATAGAGATGTGAACAAACAGCTTTAGATTTGATTCGATCTCCGTTTTGAAGCAGAAACTCTTGAATAGTGTTGCCATGGTGAGGAAAAGCCATTTGCAAACAAGTTTAAAAAAAGAATAAAATGCCTCCCTCACCTTGGAACGACTCCCAGAATTCTCTCGTAAATTCTTTCTATAAATCCTGGTTCTGTAGTTGAAAATAAAAAAAGACATTCTGCTGTCCGGGTCGGTACAAAGACCCACAAACAAAAACTAAAGATGATCAAATGTTCAATTGTTCCTCTACTCTTGAGTTGATGCAGTTTTTGTCGTCTGTCCGGACTCTTCTGTCCGAAGAACATTCGTGGGCTCGGAGGGTTCCGTCCCAACTGTCCCAGCTGCTCCTAGCTGTTGTCAGACTCGTCCTCGGCCTCGCGGAGCCACATGAAGAAGGCGGTGACGGACTTGAGGGCCACACCTTTGCCCTGCTGCTCGGCAGGGTCTTTACTCGACTCCCACTTGTAGAAGGCGTCCTCTTTGATCACGTCCTCATCGTAGAGGGTATTGAAGAACATCCGCAGCAGATCTGAGGAACACCAGACATCATGAGCTCAGTGAGGCCCAGCTCCTAACAGATGCATGTTTAGCTAGGCGCATGTCAAATCATGTCAGTGTTGTGGTGTTAGGTGATATTTAGCTTCCAGCAGCAAGGAAGGTGGATTTTTGAGGTGCTTACTGGCAGGCTGCTCCATCTGGACCATCAGGGCCTGCAGGGCGTAGAGCGCATGCAGCTCCTTCTGCTCATCTCTCAGGTATCTCTGCAGCAGCTTGGCCCGCTGCTTGACCTGCTTGATGTCCACCTTGTATGGGTTCTCACCTGCAGGGGGGTGGGGGGAGAAACATGCTCAGCTTGAACTGATCTACACGCAGCCTGTAATGGAACAAGTGGTTTGCTCACAGATGACAGCTGACTGGCAGACGCAGGTCATCAGAGCTCGGACAAACATGTTGGAGGACGTCTGCTGCTCATCCAGGTTGGCCTGCATGCACAAACATCAACACGTGAACAAAACTACTGGCGCAGGACACAAGGACGGGACAAACGCTCGTTAAAAACTCGTGAAAAGCCCAAAACAAAAGGACTCGAACCTCCACCCAGTCAAAGATCCTCTGGTTGTCGGCCTTGTCCTGGATCAGCCGCTCCAGCTGTTTGGTCAGCTCTGCAGAGCTCATCTCCTTCCTGCTCCTCTCTGACTCATCGCCCAGAGTGAACTCCACGTCCTGCAGACAGAGGAGAGCGCTCGCTTCACTAAAGCAGGGAGAAGCCGACCTTAGAGACGATGTAGAGTTTTCACACTGAACGTTCAGCTACGTAAAGCTAGCGTTAAACACTGTTGGAATGAAATGTGCTTGATGAGAACTCATGGAGGCTCGTTGGCTTTGACTTCCTGCTTGTTGGATGTGAAGACGTGAGCTGAGGCCAAACTCTTGTTCGACTGATGTTTCTAGGGATGCACGATATTGGATTTTTGGACAATATCCGACACCAATACCGATATTTGTCCCCTAGACCTACTTACAGAAAGTCTACATAACTTTCTCTGCTGTGGGATTAAAATACTACATAATCCTGCATGTTCTTTGTCAGTTTGGCTGCTACCAAATGCAGAAGACAAAAAAGAGGCTGAAAATGATGCAACTCTTCAACTTGGATTATGTTTAATGTCAAATGTATTCATGACATTTACTCTCTCTAACACAATGACAACACTCGAACAGTGCACATTTGTAAATTTTCACAAATCTAAACTCAACGGCGCGCATGACGTCATAAAGTTGTGCTGTCGCTGCTGACATCCTTGTCACTGAGTTGTCATACAAAAACAGCGCCTTTTATATTGGTGAGTTATTTTGATGGAATGGCCGATGTCCGATATTTAATTTTACTGTGAATATTGTCAGATACTGATAATATAATGCATCCCTAGCTGTTTCAGTCGTTTACTTGCTTCAGAGTGAGGCAGGAAATACTAGCCATTCATGTCCAACATGTTTTGTTCTGTTATGGTTTTGTTTTTAATATTTCATAAAATGTACATTTGATCCCTTAACTTGGTTTTTTTTATCGTTTAATGCAGTGGTTCCTGAACCCCCTCAGGGCAGTGCAGTGAACTTTACGATTAAAATAAAATAAAAAAGTGAAGTTTGACGTTGTTGCGCCCGACTTGTTCTGTTACACAAACTGTGCGTCTGTACAAAAAAACGGAGGGAGCACATTCTGCGCCGTGTGCCTCGTTCATGAGCACAGCTGAACACAAACACCGATGGTTTCCCTCATCAGCTGCTGAATGGAGGGAAGAGCTTCTTTTACTGGAGGAGGTGTCACCTTAATTCAGGGACAAACCATCAACTAGAAGGAATATAGACGTCTGACAGGAACCCAGAAGCAGCAGCTAGAAGGAGACCAGCTTCCTGCAGGCCAGTGGAGGTTTGAAGTCCAGCCATGTAAACAAATGGAACCTTACCTTGGTAGTAAAATAAATACAATCACCTCTTAGTTTATTTGTAAAGGTATTCACTTTGTTGAGTCATTGTTCGTGTCTTGCTACTGTATGTTCAAATCATCTCTTTTCTAATTTCTAATCTGATTGGGGGGAGGGGGGTAGTTGAGACTTAGGATGTTTTCACACCTGATAGTCTGGCAGACTTGGTTCAGTTGGGGACCAGTATTCATGACATTTTGTTTACATTTGAGCTGGTGCGTTTGCATTCACACTGCACTGTGCAGTCGAGCCAACCTGTTCGAACCAACCTGTTCCTCCACTCGCCTGTGGGGGCGCTGCACCAAGAACTACTGAAAGAAATGGCACAAAAACCTCTGAAGACACTTCTTCTGAAAATAAAAACAAAAACGGAGTGGCATCAAGTTTTAGCAGTTTTAGGAGTTATATTTTGTCATTTTTCAAAAATGGACTCAGCATGAGCAGAAGATGAGGCAGAAGAATGTTGCTGTTCACACAAGGCAGCTGACGGCTCCATATGAGGTAAGAGAAATGCGTGTTTGTTTGCCCTGCGCTGTACTCCACTTCTTGCTTGTGGAGCGGGGCCCGGTCTGATTACATTCACACTGTACTTGAACCACGCTGGAGTTCTCTTCTACCGGACCGAGACCTAGGTTTTAGCCCAGGCCAGAGTTCGCCTTTTTGTTCCGTGACAGAGTTCGATGGCGCATTCACACCTCCCCAAACGAACCGGACTTCCTAGGAAAACGAGCTAGAGTTCGATTAAAGCGGACTAAACAGGGCTGGTGTGAATGCACTCTTAAGGGCCCCTGCATACTCCATCTGAAGTGTTGAAATCGAAAGTTACGTATGTAACTATGGTTCTATGAATCCCGGATGACCGCCAGAGGGCGGTGCTAAAAGCACTGAATGTTCCCTTTGCGCATGCGCTGTTCGAGTAATAATACCAACGGAGTCACAGGTGTGACACGGATGACAAATCAAAGGCTATATAGCCCGACGTCATCCGCAGCTCTGCTACTACAGAATCTTCTTGCAGAATGCAAGGATTCTGAGTGACAGAGAAGCTCTGGCAGTCATCCGGGATTCATAGAACCGTAGTTACATACGTAACTTTCGTTCTATTTCATCCCTCCTGACCACCAGAGGGCGGTGCTGAAGGCACTGAATGACTAATACCAACGATGTCACAAGGAACCCTAAACACCCACCTCACTGAGGAGGCCCAGAGGACCCTTGTAGAAGAACTTGGCCCAGGGGATGAGGGGTGGCCATGTTAAACTCTGTAAAATCTGGTGAACGTGCTTGGGGAAGCCCATGATGCAGCAGCACATATTGCTTCCAGTGGAACCCCTCTCAGGGCAGCCCAGGAAGCAGAGACGCTCCTGGTAGAGTGAGCCTTCAAGTCGACCGGCAGGGGGCCGGGCCCTGCAGCATAGGCCAGCAGATGACTTCCATGATCTAGTGGGAGAGGCGCTGTTTGGAAAGAGGACTGCCTAACCTAGGGCCTCCGTAACACACAAACAGCTGGTCTGAATGTCTTATCACAGAAGTAGCTGCAACGTATGCCTCCAGTGCCCTCACCGGGCACAATAATCCAGACCCCTCACCAGGCGTAGGCTGAAAACGTGCCAGCCTCAACGGTTGGTTACAGTGAGAGTGAGATAACACCTTTGGTACAAATGCAGTGTTTGGCCACAAGGTAACACAAGAGCCCTCAGGGCTGACTGAGAGAGCATGTAGCTCGCTGACCCTCTTTGCTGAGGCAATAGCCAACAAAAAAGCCGTCTTGCATGAAAGCCACTTGAGGTTCGCCTGCGTCAGAGTCTCGAAAGGAGGGCGGCACAGAGCTTCGAGAACCAAGGGCAGGTACCAACCTGGTGCTCGTAGAGCTGTTGGCGGGTGTGACCTACGGGCACCACGCAAAAAAAGAGAGACTAGATTAGGGCTGCAACAACGAATCGATAAAATCGATAAAAATCGATGATTAAAAGCGTTGGCAACAAATTTCATTATCGATTTGTTGTGTCGCGCGATTATGCGTCTTTCACGGCGCTGCGGAGCCGTTTCGTTCACGGGCAGTTCATTGTCAATGCTGACTGACTGAATAAAGTTTGAAAAAAAAAAAAACTCTGCAGCGCGAGTTGAACATAGCGAGGGGTTAGGTGAAAGCAGAGCAGAGGCGGTGTTTTCAAAGTAAATTAAGTAAATTTTACAAATGACCAACGCAGCGAAAACTGTTCGACCCAAGTCCTCCAAAGTGTGGGAGAACTTCACAAAGATAAAAAATGAGAAGCATGCAGCTTTGAAAATCGCTGACATGACACGGGAGAACCACGCTGATAAACGTAAACATGTCGGAGTCACGAGGAGGAAGAAGGAGCTGCAGCTGATACAACTCGTCGTGTTGGCAGGTGAGTCTCTACAATATTCACATTTGTTCTGTTTCCAAGAGAGAAAACGTAACGTCAGTCTGTCTGTAGATGAAGTTGTTGGTTTGTTTGTTATCTGATTAATGACTGATAGAGAACGTGTGTTGCTTTTTATTTAATTTAATTGGTACAAGCAGTGTTTAAATGTGATCTATAAATAAATCTAACACAAAGATAATAATTTAATGATTAAGTGATATAAAAATATGTTTTATAAAAATATATTAAGTTGCCTTTATGCCTATTCAAACATATACATTTTGTGTGTGTTACTTTTCAGAATTAAATGTCTAAATTGCCATAAAAGGCAAGGGTGGAATGATATAGGAATGATTATTTTGATGCTTTTATGTCAATTAATACTTATACTCACTTTTGATGCAGCTTATCTGCTTAAAGTCAGGCCTGTGCTGCAGATGTGTTTTGGAGTAATTAAAGTTCTCTGAGGGATGCTCTAACCAGAAGACCTGGCCCAATCTTAAGGTTACAGTGACCCAGATTTTGAAGGACATGTTTTTATGAAGCCATCACTCTGTTGCACAGACTGCTTTGATGATGGAAAAACAGATTTAATTAAATCTGTCCTCCTGACAACCATCAAACTTGTTTTTCACTGCTCTCACGCGATTCCGGTCAGGGAGAGGTATAAAGGAGGTGTGACAGGCAAGGGAACTTGGAAGTCTTGTGTGGACCAGCGCGCGGTGCCATGCAGTGGTGATGTGAGTTCTGTCATTTGGATCGAAAGGCTTCCCGATCATTTGTCACGGTGAGAGATACTCATATCAATTTGTGTGTTAAGAGTGTACCAACTGTACATGACTTTGCTTGGCTGTTTTCTGTGGCAGGTTAATAAATGACAATATTATTCCTAGCAGTAACAGTCTCTGTGTTTTATTTTTCCTCTTGTCTGAATATCTGGTGCCGATCGTTCACGAACCCTTTGATAAAGAATTTCATAATACATTAAGCTTCAACTTTTAATTTGCTGGCAAAGTCTGAAGACACTGCAGGTATGGCAGGATGAATTGCATTTAAACAGGAATTAAAGTAATTTATTACATCTACTCAAATGTGTATAATTAAGTATTTTATATGTGGTGTGTGTGTTTAATTGCTCTTTTAGCTACTTTTGCCTGAACCTAACACTGTAAGTGAAACAAGGCATTTCTTGAGTTGCTGTAAATTATGCTATAATACATATTTACTCTCTTATTCCAGAAAACAACAACAAACAACAACAGCCTTCATGGTGGACAAACATCATGGACACCACAGCAGCAGCTGTCTTCACTGAAAGATCCTTAAATGATCGTCACTGACACAAGGC